GGGAGCGGCCCTGCCTCTCCAATGGGCCCTGGCTCTGCCCTCTGGGGACTGAGGGCATCGCCCGCCATCACTGTCCCCGGATGTCAGGCTGGGCTCTGCCCTGGACAACATTCTGATGGATTTAGGAGAAAAGAGGGCAGATCAGCCAGGCATGTGCCTGGGGTGCACTTCCCGGGTGTGGCCAGGTCATCTTCCTCTTGGGCACCCGCAGAGCAGAGCCTGCCAGGGGCAGGCACAGGGAGAGGCTGGGGCAGTGCCAGGGCCCAGTGTGGGGCCCGGCTCTGTGAGGGGTGGTCCTGGGTCACCGTTTGTCCAGCAGCTGCTCAATGGTGAGGTAGGCCCAGAGCCGCTCAATGTAGCTCCCGAAAATGTAGTCCTGCTCCTGCAGGGCCTTCTCCATCTCCTTCAAGTCCACCTCCTCCGTGAAGGTCAGGTCAGTGAGCGCCTGGGGCAGGGATGGGACAAGGTGAGAGGCGCAAGGAATGGAGGCCTGAAGCCAGGTGGGCCAGTTCGGTTCAGGCCCTGCCATGCTGGACCGTCAGGCTCCATCAGTGCTTGATCCCCCATCCCCAGCCCATATCCAGGCCCAGCCCAGCTTACCCCGTGGCCCTTCACATCCGCCTTAAAGTTGTTCATTTCCTCGTCCACCAGGCGCCCAGCCACCACGATCTCAGAGCCATCATAGAAGTGCTGGTAAGTGTTCCGGGTCAGGTCCAGGATAGCGTTCTCAGGGTATTCCACCTCCACTGCGGTCAGCAGTGGGTTGGCCACCTCCTCATAGAAGCCCTGGAGTCCAGAGAGGGGACTTGGTCATCTCAGGCCACCAGGGTGGGCGGGCAAGGAGAGGAGTGTGGGAGGGTTCTCACTGACGCCTCCGAAGTTGTTGAGTCCCACAGGCTGGGCTGGGCCTGGCCTGACCTCCACGTCTACATGGGCCAGGCTGTGCCCTTCTGTGTGTGGGAGCCCCCTCCGCTACCCCAGCCCCGCACCCAGAAAAATACAGGCATTCTTGCACTAGAAAGCACTCATGAAATGCTTGTTGGAATGAAGGGGAGAAGAAGAGAAGGACAGGAGGAGAGGAGGACAGGAGGAGAGGCTGCCTAGAGAAGGTGTAGGGTGGGAACAGGTGGGAATGGAGGCCCAGGGGTCCACGGCGTAGGCGGAGGTGCAGACACCTGCGCCAGGAAGGGTGGGTGTTGCCAGATTTAGCGAATGAAAGTACAGGACATGCAGTTCAGTTGGAATGTCAGATAATCAAGAAATTAATTTTGTTACAAGTATGTCTGTTATGGCCTGAGTTGTGTGCCCCCCAAATACCCAAGTATATAGGTTAAATTCCTTACCTCCAGTCCCTCAAGATGTGGCCTTGTTTGGACACAAGGTCTTTACAGAGGTGACCAATTCAAAATGAGGTCTTTGAGATGGACCCCAGTGCAATGTGCCTGGTGTCCTTATGAAAAGGGACAGACACACACAAGGGAGAGGATGTGAAGAGACAGGGAGAAGCCATGGAGAGAGGCCTGGCAGATCCCTCCTTGCGGCCCTCACAAGGAACTAACCCTGTTGACACCTTGATCTTGGACGTCCAGCCTGCAGAACTGTGAGACAGTACATTTCTGCTGTAAGCCCCTCAGTTTGTAGCACTTTGCCCTGGCAGCCCCAGCAATCTAATACCATGTGCTATGCAATCTTTAGGGCAGACTTACACTAAAAAATTACTTTTTTTTTTCAGAAATTCATATTTAAGCGATGTCCTCTATGTGCTGTGGCAAGCCTATGGAGGAACCCCTTCTGTGCAGCCCGATGACGAAGCTAGAACCATTAATGATGGGTAAGAGCCAGAGGTAGATTTCAACTTAAGCGGAAGTTCTTCCTAATTATTGAAATGACCACCTGATGGCACAGCTCCCTGAGGAAGGAGTGAGCCCCTCATTCCTGGAGGGGTGCAAGACAAGGCATACCTGCAGCTGCAAGTTGGCATCGGAATCCTCATAAATGCGCCGGGCGAACCCATCGTTCTCCAGGGCCAAGCTTTCCAGGAAGTTATAATTCAGATTGTTGCCAAAGCCCAGGGTATATAAGGGGAACCTGCCTCCAATGGCACTTAGCACGTTCTCCTGTATTTTAGCGGGTCTGCTTTCACCTGCAGGATAAAGGGGTGTTCACACTCTAGCCACCACCCAGTCAACTGTCTGGACCTGCTCTGTCTGAAGAGATCTGACTCCTGTACGTGCAGCTCAGGAGGCTTCATGGTCCGGAGCCTTTGTCAGGCCAGAGGATGGGGGGCCTGGCTAGGGGAGGCAGGTCCCCGCCCTCAAGGGGCTCACAGTCCGTAGGAGCCCTGGATTGAGCTGCCCAAGGTCTTGCAGCAAGGGGTACAGAGCCTGGAGCAGCAGCCAGGCAATGGGGTTCTGTTTTAGAGCCACGGTCGTCTGCCTCACCAGTATTGGGGTGCCCGTCGGTCAGCATAATGACGATGGAGGTGCTCCTATCTGGCACTGTGTGTTCCTCCTGGGCCTTGTTCAGCATGCTGATGCCTGTCAGCAGCCCGTCGTTGATGTTGGTCACTGGCACACAGAGAGAGCACCATGGTAGGAGACCCTCAGGGGACCATCGTGGAGAAGGGGTTGGGACATTGGCCCTGCTCATGTGCCCAAGGACTCTGTCTGCCAGTAGGTGGTGGTACTCATTAAATACTGACTAGTCAGTGAAGAATGAATGATTTAACCTTTCAAATGGGGGTCAAACTGCCTCTCAGGGTTGCTGTAGGAATAGAAACACATGGTGATAGTAAAAACAATTTGGGAAACAGTCAAATGGACTCCCGGCCCTTCACTGGGAGGACAGGGGAGCAGTACAGACATCACTTGTGATTTTCTGTAAGAAACGACCAACAGTAAAGGTTCTCTGTGGCCTGATCATGCTGGGAGTTGGGGTGCACCCGCATCATGGCTTAGAAGCAGACAGATGGGTTTTCTTAGACCCTGAGATCAAGCCTGAGGACCCCACCCACTCCCACCTCTCCCCCAGCCAGGGTCCGCCGGCCTGGCCAGCAAAGCCTGTACCCCAGGGGGGAGGGAAACAGGCTGCTCAGGCAGAGGGAGGGCACTGAGAACGTTGCTCTCCCCTCTGTTCTTACTTCCTCGATCTCTAATGTTCTTCACAAACTCCCTGGCCTCCTGGATGTTCTCAGGAGTGGCTTGAACTAAAGTGTCTTTCCAAGTGGTCACATCGGAATCGAACAGGATGAAATTCAGGTAGTCCTCCTCTTTTTTATCCTCCAGGATTTTGAGGAGGGCATCCTTTGTCTGGGAAAGAGAAAGACAGGCAGACAAGAAGCTGGGAGAGGGAGCCACAGGCAGCCTGCTTTCTTCGCATTTGGGGCTGGCATTGGAGCCCCTGTGGCCTGCAACAATGTGTGTGGGCATTTCTGTCTTTTTTATTCTATTCTCCTTCCTTCTCTTTCACTGGAAACATCAGCTTTGTCCACTTAAAATAAAAACAAAAACTGTTGCCAATCCTGGGTGGCTCAGTTGGTTGGAGTGTTGTCCTGTACACCAAGGGGTTGTAGGTTTGATTTCTGGTCAGGGCAAATACCTAGGTTGCAGGTTTAATCCCCAGTTGGTGCACCTACAGGAGGCTACCGATTTATATTTCTCTCTCACATCGATGTTTCTCTCCCCATGCCTTCCCCTCTCTCTATAAATTTATAAACATACCGTTGGGTGAGGAATGATTTTTAAAATATCTACCCCCCACCCCACCTCTCTCCCCCACTTGCACAGAAGAGAGTACCTGCTGTATTTTCCGGCCATACATGGAGCCGCTGATGTCAATCACGAAGACCACATTCTTAGGCACCACAGGAAGGCGCCGAGGTGCAAAGAAGTGCACAAAGTAGCCATTGACTATCTGGAGAGGGGAGAGAGAGACTAGAGGTCATGTCCATGAAGCAACCACATGGTGGCTAATCTTGCAAATAAAAGCTGCCAGG